CTACTGATAGATGCAGTGTTTTTTCACACGCAAAGCTAGTTTTTTTGACATCATATTATCCAGGTCAGAAGATAACAAAGCCTCCTCAGATTAAAAAAAAATAAATACACAAACAGTGGCTTTTTGTTCAGCAAAATACTTGTCCGTTTTGTAGGCAAACCTGCCATAAACAGTCTGCAACATTCACTTAGTACAAAAAAAAATCTAATCACCAAGGATGACTCATTATCCATGGTGAGGGGAATAATAACACAAGTAAAAGCTGGGCAAACAGCTCCCCAACATCAACAGAGTGATCTGGACCAGGGAAAAAAACAAAACAAAACAACAACTTTCCTGACACTAGAATTCATCCTCCAAATCCAAGCCTTGGGAGCAAAGTTATAGGAAAAGTGTTTTTAACTCACTATGAGCACCAAGAAAAGTTGTGGGGGTTTGTTTGCTATAGTAAGAAACAGAATCACAGTGAATAATGCAATCAGCATCTTTGATCTGAACACTGCCTGTACACCATTAAACCTTGAATTTAAAATCAAGCTCCGGAAGATAAACTGAAGTAACCCATCACAGAGTCACAACGAGTCACAAAAGAGGTAAGTGTGGCAGGAAAAGCTGGTATCAGAACAGTAGCACAGGCAGAGGTTATAAATCTGGATTAAGCATATTGTGGAACTGAACCTGCGCTGTGTACTGCTAGGGAAATGGACAGTCCTGCTCCCACCTGCTCTGTCGCTTCAGATCAAGCAGATATGCTGAGCCAAATTATTTGGCTAACTAACCAAAAACTGGTGGCACAGGAAATGCGTGTATGTGACATACCAGTCTCAGTCACATCAAAAAGTGGATTCAAATCACTAAGTGGTCACAATGTGACCCCATGAAAGTCAGAGGGCAAGAACACGCGTTCCGGGACAGCAACCCCAAATCACAAACCACCACCACCACTACCCTAGAAAAAGTGCATCCCGAAAGCCCACCAGTGTAAAAGACTGATAGCAAGCAGTTATTTTAACATAAATAGTTGCACTTACATTCCTTCCTGAACAAGATGGCATTACTACCTTTAAGTAGGTGCTACAGCCTGTCGTAGGGCAGGCGGTAACGAATCTGGTCCCCAGGCAGTGGCATCACCAACAGTGAGTGCTGGATGGGATAAAGGGCTGGATGAACCCAGCTCAGGGATGCACCACTTAAACACAGGTACACTCATATTAGTTACTTTCTATTCAGCAAGCTACTTTTCTAAACAAAATCAAGCTCTATGTCAAGCTCTCAAGAACCTCCAGTTGAATTTGATACAGCCACACAAGAGAGACTGATCTCATCTCTGAACTTATTTCCCAGTACATTAATTTTTGTCTCTGGTAGGCAAGACTGCTTTTTTGGTGGCTAATACAAAGCACTCAACTTGAGAAAAAATAAGATTTTGTATTTACTCTTAAGAAAATAGCCAGTAAATACAGCCCCTAACATACAAATCTAAACCAAAGATCTAAAAAACCTCTTATCACATACACATTATAAAGGACTTCACAAAATAATTCAGAAATGGAGATGTGGATATACATGCAACGACATGCCTTAAGCTGATGTTCAACCTTTGAATATGTTTGTCACTAACAAGTAAGGAGCCACACCACGTCCATCCCTCCACCCAATACAGTTACAGCCCTCCCCAGGAGGATGTCCACATGACCACGACTTGTTTCTAGTACTCAAAAGCTCAGCTGCAACCGGAGCAGAATTGCT